AAACCATTGATAAAAGTGAATATTAAAAATACTTGTTTACAGAAACAAAATTTCTTTTACATCATTCTAAATTCAATACTTAGCAGAATAAAAATGTTGATTCTTTAAATAATAAAAAAGTACATAAATTACTAAAAAGAAACAAATTTTCACGCAAATAAAACAACATATAGCATTTTTAGTTAATATTTATCAATATCAAAAATGGTAAAATCTCAAAATACATATTTAGTATATCGTTTAAAAATATTACTCAATATGTAATAGAAAATTACGTGTTTGTACATACATTCTATAAGAGTATAAAGAAAAAATTATTGTTAACACATTCACTGCCACCCGAAGATTGAAAAGAGGCATGCCATGTGCCTTTGTATTCAAAATTGGAAGCATTCCATAAAACGAGATATTTTTCAATTTCGGACATTAGTATTAGTGCATAATTTAATCCAACTGTCGTTAATTCGCTATTCCTGTGACCAATCTCATAGAAAAACAAAGAATGAAACAATGTCCTTGTCAATTGTTCAACGCACATCGTAGCGATTACCGACCTTGCTAACGTTGTACGTACATAAAAATTAACGGACATAGCTTGTATGACTGATTTTATGTAAAATAATATAGCACTACAACGGATGTGTAGTTCGTCATTTCAACATTCGTGTAACCCCAACGGAATATATCAAAGTAAGAAATTTTGATAATATTAATAATATAGCGAGACTAAATATTTTTAAATCAATTTTATGTAACACTTTACCTATTGCGTATTAATATCTAGTTTAAAAAATTGAAACTACTTACTATGAAAAGGACATAAAAATATTCGACAAAATTCAACAAATCATTTTTCATTAACAAAAATCAAATCTAAGTACTTTCGCTGAATATGAATGCGCCTAAAACTTCGTTTACTGTCGATCAAACCCGGATAAATTGAATTCAATGCACCAATCAGGAGCAACCACGATCTAAGCTCCGATGTTTGTTGTAACGTCTGCTAGAATGGCAGCGATGAAATTAATTTGGTCTTTGTTAATTAATTTATTAGTGTGTGTCGTTTTAACTGTGGCAGGGTAAGTCAAAGAACTTGTTTCTGTTTGTAGAATTTAATTTATTATATATATTGAAAATGTTTGTCTTATGATAACTATATAACCTCTTATCTCGTAAATGATTTATCAAGTTATAAGTGTGAAATGTATTAGATGAATATTTTCAAAAATTAATAATTAAATAAATGTTAATCATACATGTTAGATACGTCCTATTTTCTAATTTTTTTTGCACGACTTAAGTAATATTTTTTACTGTTTATATTTTTACATATTTGATGACATATGATATAACGCCTTAATTTTTCAATTTGGCCTATTTTTATGGAAAATTCTGAACAATAAACAAAATATATATATTTTCAGGAGAGATTTTTATGCCATATTAGGTGTACCTTCAACAGCAAGTCAACATGCAATAAAAAAAGCATATAGAAAGTTGGCAAAAGAATTACATCCTGATAAAAATAAAGATGATCCAAATGCCTCACAGAAATTTCAAGATCTGAGTGCAGCTTACGAAGTTCTGTCAGATAATGAAAAGAGAGAAATGTATGATAGATGTGGGGAAGAATGTCTGAAAAAGGATGGTATGATGTATAATACTGATCCTTTTGCAAGTTTTTTTGGTGACTTTGGTTTTCATTTTGCTGGTGAGTCTCATCAACAACAGGAAGCACCTAAGGGCTCCAATATTGTGATGGACTTAAGAGTCACTTTAGAAGAATTGTACAGCGGAAATTTCATAGAGGTAAACTTCTGTAGTTATAATTATGTAGTTCTGATATGTAAAACTTTATGCTGCTCTTTTCAGATAACAAGGAACAAGCCAGTTGCGAAAGCAGCAAAAGGAACAAGGAAGTGTAATTGTAGGCAAGAATTAGTTACTCGAAATTTTGGGAATGGAAGATTTCAAATGATGCAACAATCAGTGTGTTCAGAATGTCCAAATGTTAAATTTGTTACTGAAGAACGTGTACTAGAGGTTGAAGTGGAACCTGGTATGGTAGATGGACAAGAAACAAAATTCACAGCAGAAGGTGAACCACATTTGGATGGGGAACCTGGAGATTTAATTTTAAAAATAAAAACACAACCACATCCAGTTTTTGAAAGAATTGGTGATGATTTATACACAAATGTTACTATATCCTTGCAAGATGCTTTAATAGGGTTTAAGATGGATATAGAACACTTAGATGGTCACAAAGTGACTATTCAGAGAGACAAGGTAACCAAATTAGGAGCCCGCATTCGGAAAAAAGGAGAAGGGATGCCTAATTACGATAATAATAATCTTTATGGTACTTTATACATTACATTTGATGTTGCATTCCCTGAGACAGAATTCACAGACACACAAAAAGAAGGTAAGTTATCTTAGTGTATAATCTTTTTTATGTGTTAATTTTGTTGTTTTTGTTTTAGAAATAAAAAATCTACTCCAGCAGGATTCTGTAAATCGAATTTACAATGGAATAAGGGGAAACTAAAAACTTTAAGTGTAATATAACTATGTATATGTACAAAGTGACGCTACAAAGTGTGCATAGAATTGAAGTGCATGTGTTGACTTTGTATGTTTCTATATCAAGTGGTGTTTTCGCTTCCTTGAAATATGGATGCCAACAGGTTTGGTAGCCCATCACTAGGTCAGTTGAAATGGATACATGTAGCATTACATAACAACCATTGCAAGTACTTATACATACTTCCTCTTTAATTATAAGAGTGGTCATGTATGTTATTGCCAACTGTTTACATGGACATTAGCAATGGTTGAGCATGTTACCCAATCATATAAGTTATTTTACATTTAATATGTATGGGTGGTGCATGAATGTTTACTTAAGTAGAAGTTTTGCATTTATACAGTGAAAAAAATTCAATAACCATATTTTTAAATATTGGATTCAATATTTAAATACAAAGGATTAGTAAAATATTGTATTATAATTTTTCTATCGACATTATTTGCAATAAAATGTACAACACCATCCATCATCATTAACAAATTATTTAACCCTTTCGCTGCGGCAGATTTGAATACGTAACTTGTGTGGTATCATTTTAAAATTCGGTTTATTAAATTAAGGTGGAAGTGTACCAAAAGGTTACAACAGTATAGTGCGAGCAAATTTTTAAAACACCTATAGATGCCAATAGCAATGAAAGGGTTAATATACGTTTCAAATTTGTATTAAAAATGTTTTGCATTAAATTATACATAGGGTTTGTTGAAGACCTCTGTATATATTTCATTTACAAAAATTAAAGTACAATTCTTTCATGACATACAATACGGTGTATTGCAATCAGGCACTTATATACCACAAAAATTGTGGGTTTTGGGGGTGGGGACGTTAGATTTTCCTGGGAACGGAATACGCTCATCTGCCCTATGTCAAGGACTTTCCAGGGGATGCAAGATAGACTAAAAACTCGGCGCCGCCGTGTCGGCTACGCTGCGTACGTAACATGCGTAAGACTAAATATCTTTTAATGAATTGGCTCATCTTATTGCATCATGAAACATAAATTATTAGATCAATAATGCTGTTTTTTTACTTCCATTTACCTCGGAAATAATAAGCAGGTTTGTTTTAAATTTGTGTTACTCAGTTCATTGCAACTTGAGCAAATTGAGTTGGAACTTAATAACGAACTCCTTAAGATGTTGATTATTTTTTAAGCCATAATTAACATTTTTAATGTAATATGCATTATAAGGAGTGCATCGATTAATTACACCGATCATCTATAATCAGTATAATTGGTTTGTGAATCGTAAATCGTCTAATAAATAAAATAATTCTTTTTTCAAAAGTTAGACGAATTAGAACGTTTTTTTATTTCAGTTCAAAATTGTTCGTAACATGAAATTAAGTATCTAGTTTTATCCGCACAATTAGAATCAGATATTTGTTTTAGAATATTTTGTTAAAAAAATTGTTGAGAAATTTGGAATGTTGATGAAGGTAAATATACAGGCTTAAAGTTAAGTATACAGGTAGCAAAATACTTTAAAAGCAGAGCACATAACTGGATGCTATTATGCTTCTGCAACTACTTGTAATGTTATTTCAAGTATATCTTCATGCTTCTGTAACTTTATTCTACAGGATAAACCAATCACCAAAAACTAGTAATACATGTGCAACTTTTAATATTTTAGGCATTTTCATTTTTTATTTGTAATGCTTATATTTTTAAGAGAACCTTTTGTTACTGTTTGTATAAGTGCTTTATTCATTAATCTTTTCTCTGTTACTTTTGTAACTCTTTTTTCAAAAAGATCATTTCAAAGTCTTGTTCAAGTTTTCTGCGTCTTTCACGTTCAACTTTCCATTCTAAGTGTCTGGTCATACAACTTTCCACTACAGGGGGTAACTGTACTACTGAAATTAAATTGTTAACAATAGTATGGCAATATACCAATGAGATAATATACTAACCATAAACACTGTTTTATACAAACCTTTGTTTTGTGGTATGCTATTCGCAAAATTTGATAGAATTCTATTTTTATTAAACGTTACAGCTCTTTAGGTTTCACGCATTCCTTCATGTTTCTTGGTGCGAATAAACCGACCATTTTCTGTATTTCCGAAAGCAAATGTTTTCCCGTTGTATCACTGCCGAAAAGTTGACATTTTATTTGACATGAACAAACCTAACGTCGTGATTAAATCTAATTTTCTACTAATCGTTTGGCAGTAAAGTTCAACGGAAAACAGTTTCATATTGTTGTGACTAGGAAGATGTTTTTGAATAACAGTATTACCAACGGTCAAAAAACTGCGGAGCGCTAAAGCGTTCTGCTCGTCGTAGTGTAATTATATGTAAAATGAACAAGAAAATCTAAACGTTAAATCTTTTATGAAACAATAACTGAACTTAATACCAATAAGAACATAATAATAGTAGGTCAGTTGTGAAAGTCTTCATATGTTCTACAACAGTGCCATTTTTGTTAAAACAGACATTAACTCTCCGTAATAACATGTTTACTAACCAAAACCGAAGATTTAGGGAGGAGTTAGGGTCAAGAAGTGGGAGATGAAGGAGAATTTATGACATTTTCGCTGGTAATAATTATTAGTAATTAATTATCATTTATTGTTAATTATCAGTCAATAGTCTTCAATGAACAACGATAACCGATGATCAAGTCTCGCGTGAGCAGTCGGTAACAGATAAGTTACGTGCCGATTTTCGAGGCGCGGAAACGGTAGTTGTTGATCTGTAGTGGCATGCTTTTCTTCATTTTTGTCAGTAATTTTTGGGTTTATAAGCAATTTTTTAAAGCCCCGAAAGCTACTTCTATTATTCAGGAATAGCAAAGAAATGTTTACTTTTCAGTTTTCTAACTCTTAAAAAATATTACTACATTCTTGAGGTTTCCTTCGCGATAACAATTTATTGTATTTGAGTATTTTGAAAATGAACGTTTTTTCACAGACGAGGTACAAAATATACTTACCACCCAATAAATTTTTTTGTCCACGTCACGGGGGATCCAGAGCCCCCTTATCATTTTCATAACTTCCTACGTTATCGATTCAGCATAGAATAAGATTATAACATTAGTAGTGTTTGGAATTAGAACTAAATGTAAATATAAAATTACAAATGAAGTATAGGACAGGATATCGTATATGTAATTGTACACGAAGTATAGAATTCTATGCGTAGTTATTGAATAATAAAAATAAGTTTTTGCACAAAAAAAAAACCAGTATTCTTCGGATAAGCACTTGTTTTAAGGCAAACAAGGGATAATCTGGCGTGTGCGTGATCCCTTTCAAGTGTGGAGTCTGGATAGTAGCTGCTTGGTGCATTACGTATATCTTGCTTACTCTTGTTATATCCATTCTCTTTATTGAGCAATCTCGCTGATTGCTCAGAATCACTGCCCCAATCAACTGTTCGTTCACCCGTATGAGAGCAACCTGTATAAGGATGAACAAGTATTAAGCTATGTATCCGTTCGAGAGAATCTAGCACGAGTAACTTTTGATAGTTACTCTTGACTATGTATCTATTCGACAGTAGCTTTGAGAATTTGTACTCTCTGATACTACTAGGTATCAGATACGACTAGAAAACTCGCCGAGAACTTACAGAACTCTTAGAACCGTGTCCACTTATTTTGAAATAAAGTTGAGGTGAAATAGTGATCACGAATGTTCAGAAACTTAGTGCTGTTATTATTGCTTACAAAATCTTGCAAAGAAACAAAAAACCATGCAGAAAGAAAAGTTGCTGGAACAAGCCATGGATTTCAATTATGTATCTTGTATTTCCTCTGATCGTAAGCAAATCCGTTTTGGAGACTGTGAAGTAAGTCACTTAAACCCGTTTCGCATTCACGGACGAGGTGACTCGTGAACTGACATTTATCCGAACCTTTGGATGAGATATCTCGCATCCGAATGAAAAGACATGCGAGATATATCGTTCAAAGCGTTACATGAACGCGAGATATCTCGTCTATAAATGCGAAGAGGTTAAGACCAGGCCCAGCTGCAAGAGTGGGGATGACCTGTTTCTGGGGTTTCCCCTAGGCTAGCTTCAGGCGGACAGCATGCAGAAATCAGGCAGAACGACGCGACGTACAGTGGCGCCATTTCACGAAAAGCTGGCCAAAATTCAATTTTCGAAGTATATAGCAGCTTTTTGCTACTATAGCAGATTTGTTTTATATACATCGGTGCATCAAATGCCGCTTGAATTTTTAAATATATTGATTGGTTACTGAGATACAGGCCGTCAAAGTTGACGAACTTTCATGCTCCTTAATGTCTTGAAAATTGAAGCGTGTTTAATGTGTTAGGGAAAGTTTATTTTCAAAAAATTCATACGTAAAACATTTTACCATTAAAGTAGGTACTATAAACATAAACTTTCCACAGAAACAAAGTAAAATGTCTTTGATTTTACCCTTGTAATTCCCTTCTCAATATATCATAAATCTTAGTCATGTTTTAATAAAACGGAAGGAAAACAAAAGTGTTAGTCATCGAAATTCACGCAGTGGCAGGTTTCTTGATATAAAGTTACATATCAGGTACTATATCCAATTGAGAAAATTTGCGTAAATTTGCGTCTTTTTAAGATATTTAAATTTAAAGTAGGGGTATCTACATTCTGTCCCACCAGAGCGTGTTGACGATATCTCTGCATATAATTCTCTGCTAATATATTTGTAAAAAATTTAACATGAAATAAACAATTTATCTAAAACACTAATACAGTCTTACTTAATAATGGGTCCAAGATTATAACTTGACAAAGTTTCGGCTTGGAGCGGTCAGTTCAATACAGGAAGACCACTTCCGAAAGATCTGCTTCTTCAATGATTTTATAATTTTTCTTGCACTCTATTAGCCAATTATTGATTGTCGTACATGTTACATCGTGATATAGGTAAAGGCAAATCGGAAAATAATGAATTTTCACAAAAATTAAGTTAAAAACAACGTTTACACTTTTTGCATTTTTGCTACGATATTCGAATTCAGCAACTCCAGAAATATTTTTATGAAAATCGAATGAACTTATGAATTATGGCCAGTTTTTCGTGAAATATCGCCAGTGTGCGACGCGTCACCGGACGTGTGCCTTGGCAAACCACTCTTTGTAGAAAATACACTAATTTTACGAGAGTTCAAAACTGTTGAATAGTCCAAAATTTTCTCTTTTAACCCTTCCGCTGTGGCAGATTTTAGTATATAACGCACGTGGCAGAATCAAATGTTCCACAACGTTCGCAAAATCTTTTCCTTTGGTCGTATCATTTTGAATTAAGGTGGAAGAGTGCAAAGGATAAAATTATTCATCGATAATCTATTTGTTTGCAAGATACCACGGTGACTTTTAGTACCTTTGTACTCTTTTACAAACTCACACATGTACTGAGGATTTATAATGGTGCAAACATATTTTATGTATGAATTTAGTGCTTATGAAATTTATTCGTCGACATGTTTAGAAATGTTGTTACAAGTAATATAGCATTTAATTCGTTTAGTGTTAACATTTTCTTTGGTATGTTTTAAAATATTACAGAACGAAATTGCACAATTTTCTAGAAAATAAATAAATAAATAGCTAAATAAGTAAATAAATTATTTTTCTGTTTTAAGAACGGATGTTTATTTCTTGTAGAAAACTGACGAAAGTTTTCCTCTGTTTTTTCTTTCTTTTTTGATAAAACATAAAAAATAAAACACAGGCGTAAACGCATGTAATCAGATAATAATTAACCCTCGTGCGTTTTTCCGTTCGACGATACACTTAAGGTCTGTGGGTCAAAAACGACCCAAAGACCTTGTCTGTAACAATTTTAGAGACGATAAACCTTTAATATAACGTTAAAGGAATATAAACTTGATAACAGCAAAAGTTATTAAAAAAGAAAGTGATGGGTCAAAAAAGACCCGAAGACCGCACTAGGGTTAATACTATTTAGTGTTACATGTATCAGCTGATGCTTTACTAAGCACGAAATCGTCACATTTACATCTTCAAAGCAAGCATATTATCACAGTGTGACTCTTCTCACGTTATACTTGCCATCGCGACAGTTTCAAGAGGGCCATGAAAAACTGACGAACAAAAAACAAAAGCAAAGGTAGATCGAGCTACAAACAATAACAGTATAGCCTCATGTTGAATTCATCGACGCAAGCGCTCTGTTTGCCGTACGCGTTTAATCTGCTAACCGATCCCACCAACTTATTCACCTTGTCCTTACTCCTATACCGCACTGTGCCTTCGAATATCGCGTCACCAGGTTCTGTTTCAATCGTAATCGTGTAATCGACTAGTTCTCCCTTGTCACCCTCGTCCTTCCACGCTTTCGCGGCTTTAATTTCTTTCAGTTTCAAGCTCGCGCACTGCACGTACTTCTTCAGCATCTTGTTCAACTCCGAGACCACGAAGACCGCCTTGTCTTTAAGATTCTCGTCGTTGGTAGGAACGTCGAAACTATTGTGACACATGCACCAGTGACTAGCTATACCGGCCATGTTACACGTCCGGTAGTCAGGAATCGGTAGGAACCAACTGATTCCACGTGGCAAATTCTCATCCCGAGGCATGCTCTTCGAACGACTTTTCAGACGCGATTCCTCCAGATTCTGAGAGTTGAGCATATCTAGCAGGGTTTCGTGCAGATCGAAGGCTGTTGTTAAGCTACGCGTGTTCCTTCGAAGATTCGCCCAGGCCACTTGATACTTCTCCTTCCACCACCGTGGCAACACGATGAACACAAACGGCAAGCTGTCCTCCATTCTACCTTGATAAGTTTGACGAAAACTGCCCCATCTCATTCCGTGGTCGCTCATCACTATCAACGCTGTCTGGTTTAACAGCTGTTTGATGTAGAGATGGGTGATCAGGTTGTAATAGGACACGTCGCCTAACTGTGGATAGTTCAAGAAATCGTGAGTCAAGCTAGCTTCCCAAATCATCGCGAAGTATGGATCTGCGGCGAATTGCGAGGCGGCTTTCTGCGCGTAGTGTAGTAAGTTGTCGAACGTTTTCCTGGTCCCTACACAAAGATTTGCGTTTAACTTATGCGTATTACCGATATCCTTCTCCGACCCTATACAGAACGGCCTCAGGTAGTAGTCGGTCGGCGGATCTCGAAAACCTTGTTTTAAGTAATTGAACGTCGTCATGGAGCAAGCGTCCTCGCCAAAGATCGTTCGATAACCGGACGCGCTGAAGTTTTTCCATATGAACGGACACTCGTCGAACGTTTTCTCCTTGTTTTGCCAGCATAGGTCGTGCAATTCCCCCTCGGACAAACCGCTCAAGGCAGGTACTAAATTTGGGTAGGTGTTGTCAGCTACTTTAGTGTAGCCTAACATTTCCACCGCTTCGAGCTGCTGCAACGCTTCGACGGTCTTCGGCATCATTCTATGAAAATTTAACCTCGAGACGGAGTCAATACCGACTATCAGCACACTAAGGTGTTCGGTTCTCGAGCTAGAAGCTACAATTTTCTTGCACTTCTCTTCCACCGAGCTGACACGGGGCACAAACGCGTGATAATCCTTGTATATCACTTCGTTATTGTACGAACATTCGATTTTCACAAACTCGGTGTTCACAACCGTCGAGGTATTGAATTTGAAACACTCGTTGCCGTACCTGCAAATAGGAGCTGTTTGAATTAATAGGAATTGAGAATGAAGTGTTAAGTTGTATAAACAGTAGTCGTTCGCAAGGAGGTTAATGTGATAGATTTGAAAATTTAAAAAAAATTGTACGTGTACGGATAAGAATAATCGGTCTTACTGACGTAACAACATTATCGTCGTCCTTCATTCGCCAGAACGGACGCCAGCAGCAGTCAATATCCCCTGAGTTGTTGTAAAAATGACCGATCGCTTTTGGATTTATGAACAATGCCGTGTTGTTCGAGTCGACCAGTGGTAAATAATCTCCGTGCTCACAAGCAATAGGTTTCTCTTTCTCGATAAATCGTGCGATCGCTGAATCGAAAGGATCCATTGCTGGAATCCGACAACCTTTGTTGCGGACTACGAAGCCGGAGTTGGCTAGCGATGCGAAGAAAGGCTTCAATTCTAAGTCATTTTCTGAAAAAAAAAAAAAAAACAAAGTTTAGGAAGTTATTAAAAACAGTCGTTAGTTATAAAATGTGGGCTTATATTTTGCTTATTTATTTCATTACAAATGTTTCTTTCCTGTATCTTAATTTCAATTACTGTTACCTTCTGTCGAATATAAATTCTCCAAAAAAAGAAAAAAAAATTTGTAGCACTATCTCCAATGCGCGAAACGAATATTTTGTTCTTTTAGACAAACAATTTTTGAGCATTTTAGAAAACATGTTATTTAGAGTGCTATTTTTAGTTATGAATTGCTGCATTTATCCAGTGTGATGATGGTATAAAATTGTATATCTCAAGTATAGTAATTCCCCGACCTACGTTCTCGTCACTTACGTTGCTTCGTGTATACAGTACTTACAAGAGGACATTCCGAAGTGACAATCACCTATTTTGATGTCACTTTGTTATATAGTAGTTCTCAAAAAAATATTCGATACATATTGTTTTATATCGGCAATCCTTCACAGTGAAGGGGTGAAAATCATTTTCTAAGTTGGAGGTAGCAAATATATTTACTCTAATATCTAGAGAACTATAAGAGATAGAGGAATAGTGTAAATTAACGATTGTATTTATAATTCAGTATTACGTTTAAATAACGATGTTCTTTTTGTGTTCAAAATGAAAGATGAAAGAACAGTTTCGTTTCTTAAATATTGCTATTTGGTGCCAACTTAGCTTTGTTGATGTAATTTAGTTTTTGCTAAAATTCAACAATTGTACAGAAAAAGTATTTGGAGATTTTTTCGACGAATTATCTGATAATTTTGGCAGTGGAATACCTTGCGAAGAGTCGTTAGCGATAGTTCCATATCGTGCCGTTCGTAATTGATCCGTGTTGTATGTATTTATCACAATTAACGATACGAACAAAAAGATTAAAAGACCCATTAACCATTTTTGTAGCTGTAATCGACTCTTGTATACTTTGCTGTCGAATTCAATATTGAAAATGCCACGTTCATTGTTTACCACCTTTTTACTGCCACGAAACAGTACCTGAACAGAAATAACATAGTTCGAATAAATGATTAGTTTTGTTGCATTCTTGTGAAAAATTCGAATTTTACTTGTAAGAGGTAACTGGCGGCCATGTGTCGTTGGTTTTGAGGATGGCTGTACCCCCAGTGTCTTGACCTACTCTACACTCGTTGGTGTAGAGAGGTTTGTCGGCACCCAGGGATTTTTAAATGTTAATAACTAAAAAACGAGGCTCCAAACGCAATTTTCTTATGCTTGATTTTCGTTTTATTTTGACTTGTAGAATCACCTCTTAAATCTTTTACCAACTGCTGCTGAACACCCTGTGCATGCAGAATATTGCTATAGAGTTATCGTTAAGGACGGACACAGATAAAAATTATCTAACTAATTCAATAAGCACATCCGGCTATTTTAATTGGACATGTTATATCGCTTTCGTCGAATTCTGTCTATATTATTATTTAAATGTCAAGAAACACATACGTACTGTTTGGAAAAAATATTGCAAAAGGAGGACATGATTTTACTTTAGTTGTTTGTGCCAGAAAATATTGTCGAAAAAATGGGTTTATATTGAAATGTCAACATTTACTGTTGAATTAATGTAATTATATTGATTTTTCTAATGTCTATAAACATTAACAATTTTTTGACTCTCCATTTCACATATTTTTATTCCAAATAGCACACCCTAATGCATATAAAGTTATAACAGGTATGTATAACATATAAATGGAAATACAAATCCAAGATTTAAAGTTTAAATATAAAAAATCGGAATAATTACGAAAAAAAATCAAGAAAATCGATGTTCAGTGTCGCCGCTTTTTAAATTTTCAAAATATTTTTTTCATTCTGGTCGAAAGAATCTTTTTCGCTTTGTCGTTTCAGATAAGTATAGTAGCCGCAATTGTGTCAGTCAGTAGGACATGTTTTTTTTTAAGGGATCGTACTAAATAACTTATAATTCAGTTAATTTTGATTATTTTCACTTAAAGCAGACGGTACATATTTTTAAAACATAAATAACTATCTGTGGAAAAAACCGATATTAAAAAATCTTAGTTTCTTTGTGAAAAAATCTCTAAAGAAGCTTAAAAAGTGACACTCTATATTAGAATATCTCCTGAAAAAGGAAAAGGGGAACTGCTTTTGACTGCGCCATGTTTCTGTAGTCTGCGACACTTGATTAAACGCAGTGAAATTTTTCCTATACTATTGTTTACTGAATTTCAAATTAATATACTGTATTTTTCGAAGATAATCCTATTTGATGAAAGTTTACGCATTTACTTTGAAAAATCACACATTCATTGTATAAGTATTCTCTTTTATGAAAAAAGGTACGAATCCTGTTGCGTCGATTGAATAAACGCATTGTAATTAAAACGCGAAAAAACGATATTATTGCGTTTTATGAATATTTTGTGCGTCCACCATTTGTACTTAGATAAAAGTCTTTCTTCTTTTCTTACAACATAATAATAAGACGAGTCAGTTATCGTTCGCTTCATGGGTGCTGTAAGGCAATAAAATGTATTCTCTATGAAACATGTACTAATAAGCAAAGATCACAGCCGTACGTTAAATTCTCAATGCCGTTTTCCGGGATTTCCCGAAAACTATTTTTACGTTATCTATAGCTATAGATTGTAAATCTACATTGTCGCGTGTTATTATCAGTATCGGAATCCGCGACGTTGCAACGCAACTTTCTCTCTCCAAAATGCTGTTCATTCTGTCTAATTTGGCGTTAACTAACGTAATTCCTGTGTACAGATAAAAAGTTCTTTGATAAGCTGAAAAACTGTGTTTGCTGCACCGAGAAAAACGTTTAAACGGTCGGAATCGTTAATTTCGGACTGTGACGATTTATCGTAACTGGTACCTTCGTTGAAATCGACTCCTGATGGACCTGCTTCATGTGACTCGGATGTTTGTCTCGTCGAACGGAAGCACTTGTGCTACAATTTCACGTAACGCGGATTACAAAACAACGTATTATCTATCGTGATAATCGTATCAAACTGAAGAAACGTGTTTTGCATAAGGATTTTATAACGCGTTGGTGAGACCGAAGTTTAAAGAGCTAGCAGCAGAGGTACCTCGGCAGTTCACCAAATTCGACGAAGCAAGTCTACGATAAGAACTTGTGGAGTAATGCGTTAGGAATAGACGCATGCTCGGAAGGTTGATAGGTTTCTAAAGCCTGATGTCATTGCCTCCCACCTTTGATTGATAGATAAATAAAGAATATTCTTATTTCTGTAAAAGTGGTGTGGTTGGTTGTGGCGTGATGTGATTGATCGTGGTTGTGAATTTACCGTACGGCTATGATATTTGCTCGTTAATACAAGTTTCATAAAATCATTTTATTGCCTTACAGTGCACATGGAGCGAACGTTCAACATTTTAATCCTTTCGTTGATTGCAATATCTCTGGCATCCTTTGAGACCTATGATCCAGACCGAGCGTGGCGGTCAATTGTTGACCGCGTAGCTTATTAGGACGGCACGCAGATACATTTTAAGCTCCAACCTGTCTGTAATTATGAAATGATCAAAATTAAATTTAGCGTGTATCATCGAGAAACATTCAAGGGACAATATATATTTTTTTCAGATTTCTAAAAAACATGATAAGTTGCTCGTTTTTGGAAAATAAAAATTTATTTATAATTTCCATATTAAAAAAGGGTGCATACATCAAAATTGAAAATACACTTATAAAGCACCATCTTTTGCGATGCAAATAAAAACATATCTTTTTTCTGTAAGTGTAATAGTTTACGAGATAAAAATTCGTTTATACAGTCATGTTTGGCTGAAAACACACTTTTTCGCGATATTCAACATGTTATAATTTGCTAATAACTTTAAAGTCAGCAAAATGATGACATAAACTCATCGTTAATTCACATAGACTGCAATATATTACAGTTTCGTCAAAATCGGAAGACATGTTGCCAGTGGAATGATCCGTACTCACCAGGGCTATCTAAAGTAAATTGCTTTTGTCCGATAACATTACTCTTTTCCATTTAGTTATCCGACTTATTGCGACGCGATTCTTAATCTTTATTGGCAGTTAGTGTATCGCGTCTCCCACACGTAAACTTAATTTTGCGTGAGTGTAATGTAAGACTAAGGAAGTACAGGCGCTTAAAATAACTGATGTTAAAATAACGTCGGTTCGCTCGTCGATGAGTATGTGCGATATTGTGTGGACCGTTAGGACCCTGCAAGCCGTTGGGTAGGGGTGCAGCCTGCGCTCATCCTTGTCTAGGGCCCCCTGCAGCTTGGGTCCCTTCATCGTGGCGGGGGTGTGAGGCCCGAAGATCAGTCCAAACGGGACTGATCTGTATGTGTGTATGTGTAGTAGCTTTAGGATATGTGAATTGCTATTGAAGGAAATGTACGGGCACCAGGAAGGCGTATGGCACGCAGAAGCGTCGAGTTTCTGCGTCCATAAGACACTTTCTGGTCCTCGACGTCGCTTCGAAAGGAAAAGTAGGACACAAAAGAATTGAAATTAGAAGCCCTCAAAAATAGCAGGCCTGGTCGTCCGTGTCGTAAAGTCAAACTCTTAACGGTTGCGTTTGCGACGCAACACGATTCATATGTATGTTTCTTTGCAAAGTTAAACACATCTTTATTATGATGGGCTTTTTAAAGACTTCCTTTTGAATAGTACCTAGGCAGTCTCTTTAAAAACCATTGTACAGTTCATACAGAAGTTAAGGCATTACATAACTTGCTTTGCACTGTAATTTGTGTTCAATGCGATACGCAGAACTAATCTTTTTCTCTTGGCGATAGATAATCTTTAATTTTTTTCACTATTTCTAGATAAGAACGGGTTACAAACTCACTCCTGTTTAATCTCCCCGCGATCTCCATATTAGAATAACGTTCCTCTTTCTCTGCACTTTTCCAATTTCTGTAGAGTTTAGCTGCATTGCTCGACTCGTTATTCCATTTTTTCGACAATTCTTTAGCACACTTTCTACAATACAACCTCGTCTTGGGTTATATTGGGTATTAAGCAACAGATTAACAAAAGAAAAGCACGCATAGCCAAAGAAAAACAATAAACAAACGAGATGCGATTATTCAAGTGACGCAGGAGAATTTGTCCCTTTTTTCATGAAAGAGAATATTTTTATACTAAATATGTCACTTCTCAAAACCAATGCGGAAACTGTTATTAAATAGGATCCATTGTTCTTAGAAAAATAGAATATTTTAATTTAAACCTCAGTGGGCAATAGTATCGAAAAAATATCACTGTGTTTAATCAAGTATCACAGACTGTATTCGTCCGGGTGGTTTAAATTAATTGAAATAGTAAGATAATATTTCGTATTGTGACAGAAAATTCTTAAGAGCGATCGTGCAATTATTGGCGACCACATTTTTCGAAAATTTAACGTTATTTCCTTGCAACTGTGCAAAAAGACAGTGTCAAGGTGAAAAGCGTAAGCTTCAAATGGTCAGCACTTTGCAGCAAAATGCAAATTTAAAAATCAGACGATCAAGGACTTCATTCTTACATTCCAATTATGTATTTTTAAAATCCGTTTGATTTCTGTTTTCAAGCCTACCGTAATATCTCGAACAATGTCGCTATATCCGCAAAAAATTCCATCGATAGGTAGAAGTTTTTAACACGTTCAGGACGGTGTGACCATCATCGATGCTCTTATTTGCTGACATGAAATAATAAAAAACATAATCGCAAAAAACATTGAGTAATTGTGGATCACCACACTTTCTGATTAGATACGAAATAATTAACTATTAATGATAATACACACTTCAGTCATAAGTAACGTTGACAGTGGTGAGCGTTTCGTCAATTCGTCGCTGTCGTCCTGAACGTGTTAAAAAAAAAGAAGTTCAGCTGTCCGAGATATCTTTAGAAAATGAAGGAGTATTTTTTCACTCGTCGTAAAAACGAAAACGAAAATTCATTCTATGGTTTTTTCTTAAATAGCGAGGGATAAATAAACGACAGTATGTACTGCAATGACTTACCTCGTCTTGAGAATTGTTGTTACACATGCCAGAGAACCTTTCCTCACTAACCAAATTGGAATGATCGAAGGATACCTCGAGAATAAGCGCATGGTCGATATTTTTTATCTGATATGAAAGATTTGTAGCTTTAGATACTAAAATGTCACTTTAGATATGATAAGTATTATGTAAATTTGATATCTTGTTTCTACAATGATTATCTTTTTATTGTAAGGCAAAATTTCACATATGGTATATACACTATTGTTCGAAAGTTTCGAGCATGTTGTGATT